GAAATTTCATACAAATTTATGAGACTAATAAATAGAAAATAGAAAAGAAGTTTATAGAATAATAAATTAAAAAAGTATTGCAGTATTGTAAGACAGAGCTTTTTAAAATTCCGAGAGTTCTCATAGAAGGTTGATGGCTTTTACATCATAGCAAAGTAAGTACTCGGACAAATATAGGAAAAATTAAGCCAAACGAATCAATCGTTCTACGAAAACTTCGATTTGCATTCTTGATTCAAATTCGTTCAATTTCGTGCGAGAACGCGAAGGGAACGTTGGTGTCCAACCGCACCAAGGAATTACAAGCCACTTGTTGATTAAGAAGGGCAAACACTCCCGACACCGGGAGACAGGAGGCACGGAAATTAAAAAAAAGGAACAAGACAGTCGGGCAGCTTGCAGAAAATCACGCCGGTAATACGCAGCAGGGAGTCTCCTCTTCTCGAGGAGAGAAATTGAACGTTACGATTCGAGGTAATAGGAACGGAACGCCGTTTTCTTTGGAGAATGACGCGAACGCCGGAGGAACAATGGCCGATGGAAAGAGCGTCGCGCTTCAAGGAGTGGAAGGGGCGGCAAAACAGCGGATGAACGGGCCGTAAAAGGGTCGTGAATGCGGACATTAGCGTTGCTCAGCTGTCGTCTTGGACAGTGCTGACTGTAATCTCGGCCAAGATTACGACGAACGTCTCTCGCAGTGTCTTTAGGGATCGGTGTTCTTAAAGCTTCGCACCGTCGCTGACTCGCATCGACGTCGAGATTCCGAATGAAGGGAGGACTTCGCGTCGTGGCTCCGCGATTGTCGTTCGATTCGGACGATTACTCGAGAGCCGAATGGAAAAGGGAAAGCGATTTACCACGGGTTTATAGGTTTGTGCGACAACGTAACGAAAGGATTCGTTTCTGTTTGGAAAACGATCGGCTTGACACGGTGAGGAGCAAATATTTGTGAAGCAGAGTTGGCTAAACGCTCACTATGATTGCACGAATCGAGTCGTACATGCTTACCCACATGTACGCTCGACCCTCAAATCGTATCGTTGGGTCATTATAGTCACAGATGACTATATAATAATTCATGGTTCATGTTAGATCAATAAAATAAAATGTAGGATTTTCTTCTCCGTAACGGAAGTTAGTAGCAAAGCTACTAATGCGTATTCTAAAGCTAAGTCAATTTAACTGTAAATTGTTATAGTTATAGTGATGGCAATGACCCAATGATACCAGTTAAGAATTATTCATTTATGAGAACCAGTTCTGCCATTTTTTACTAATATAAATTTTACTTTTGTTGCACACTCGGTTTTTAACAAGAATTTTTACTTCAAATTATGAAAGAGCTTATTTTGATCCTTGAAGAAATTATTTAATTATTTAATTATTTCTCTAAAGTAAATATCGTTTTCATATAGCAAGAATCGAGTTGTCAAAAGTGGTCATTAAATAATTGTTGTATTTGGGAAAAGAATACCAAAGAATTTCGTTAATTAATTACTGTATCATTTCAACATGTATTATTCTTATATCCATTAAAATAATCTGGTTGCACTTAGACACGAGCAAAGAACTACGCATGAATATTCACACATTTCGTACAATCTTATGGAAGATACACACACGTATATGCGAGTACAACGACATAAAGTGATTTTTACGAGCGGGGAAAAAAAATTTCATTCAAGCAAGAGTGAAATTTACAGGGAAGAAGATAAAGTTGCAGAGATTGAAACTGAAGATCGTAAGTTTAAACTTCGCTATATTGTAAGAGACACGCTTGCAAAGCGCACTTTATTATCAAATGCAAAGAGCAGGAAAAACGAACTTTTAATATTATAATTAAATTAACTGATAATTCTTAGCGAATAATTATAATTATTTGTTTCGTTATGCTTCCTCTTTCGTTTAATTTAAATGGCCGTGCAAATACTCAGCTTCGTTTTAAATGAAGGCCGCATGAAGGTTGAGCAACAGGAGACACAGAATAATGAAATACTGCATACTTTGTTACAGAATAAATTATGTAGTATAATTTTATTCCGAGTGAATTTGCACTGCACGCGACCGCGATTCGAACACCTTCCGTGAATTGAGCGATAGAATGGAGAAAATTAAAAAAAGAAAATGAAAATGAAACATTCGCGACTGATGCGTCGTTTAAATGCCTGCACTTGGTAGCGAAAAATGCAACGTCAGTTCCAACGTCAGTTCTTGAATTACAATCAATGAAAATATAATAAATTCTATTAGGCAAACGTGGAATAAAGTCCTTGAAACATATATTGAAATAAGTATTCACTATGTAAAAATAGTGAAGTTATACAGAGATATTTCTTTAATCCTTAAATGCACGACCGTTGCAAATTTGCAACGTTCGGTATCATTAAATTAAAATTGTGCGCCCAAGGGTTAACAAAAAACCTGTCAAGGGTTAAGGGTTAACAAAATCTGCGTGTTAAAATCATGAATTGCATTGCTATTAATTGCTCTTAATTAAAATTTCGTTCGCCTATAAGAGGAGTAATTGTTAATTAATTGTAGTTGTTGTTTGAAACATGGCGAGTGCTGGTAGAATATAGTAATACGGATATTTGCAAGTGGGAAAATATCGTCAACTTTTGGAAATACTTTTTCTGAAATCCACTGGTCTCGAATAGATTAATGTAAATGATCGCCTCCAACGTTGCTTTAAATAAGAGTTAACCTTATGAAGATTAATCGGCGCGACGGGGAAAATTGCACAATGGGATAATATACACTTTATTACAGAACAAATTACGGAATATAATTTTATCCATTTACACTGTGTATAGCCACGATTAACCTCTACAGCGCACTGAACGATAACGCAGAAGAAACAAAAGAAAATTAATCCTTGAGCGGTATCGTGGAATCACAGTATATAACTATAGTAATTTATATTACAACATATTAATGTTTAACAAAATATAAATTAATTAATATATTACAATATATTAATATATTATATTATTTTAAATTAATATAATTTGTAATATTATATTTTTACTTTAGATTATATTTATATTTTATATTAATATTTAATAAAATATAAATTAATTAATATATCATTTTCTAATTAATATATTATAATACATTAATATATTATATTATTTTAAATTAATATAATTTGTAATATTATATTTTTACTTTAGATCATACTTATATTTTATATTAATATTTAATAAAATATAAATTAATTAATATAACATTTTTTAATTAATATATTATATTATAATATAATATATTATTTTTTAATTAATATATTAATATATTATATTATTTTAAATTAATATAATTTGTAATGTTGTTATATTTTTACTTTATACTATATTTATTGTAATATAACAATACTTTTACATTATATCTGTTATAATTTGTATTATATAATAAATTTATTATTTATATACAACAATTAAAAAATTAAATTACTATTATATATATATATTATATATAAATGCAAAAATTTATTATATTTATTGTAATATAACAATACCTTTACATTATATCTGTTATAATTTGTATTATATAATAAATTTATTATTTATATACAACAATTAAAAAATTAAATTACTATTATATATATATATATGCAAAAATTTATCATAATTTAACTTTGTATCTCCCGAGACAGAGGAATTGAAAATTCTCGTCGCTCTGCATAGCGAGGATTAATAATGATCTTGTCATTATCAATCCTCGACATCCCCTCGGCATTTGTTATCGAACACACACTCGCCAGATTCGATCTTCCAACATTTTGACAAAGTTCCTTTCGTTCGGTATTGTCGGCAAAGGAAGAAAGACTCGGTTCGGTAACCTGTCCGCGACAGGAGAGAGTAGCAGCGAGAAAGCGCGGATGCGCGCTTTGGGTTGACGTTGCCGCAGCGATAGCCGGAGGCAATTTTCATCGAGCGACGAACAAAGTACGCGACTGGATGAAACTCGGCCTGTTTACGTTTCGTTCCCCGGCTTTATCGCGGACCGGATCGGCGAGAGAATCGAAGAAGCAGAGGGAAACCGAAAGAGGAAATATTCCACGCTCTCGAGGAGTCGAGTGGAAGCTATTTTCCATGTGTCGTTCCGCGCGTTTCATTCCATTGTCGTTTCATCCCCTCCTGCCGATCGTTCGCCCACCCTCGACCACAAATTTTACCGATTGCACGTCGCGTGCCGCTTCATTTTCGAAGCAATACCGGTCAAAGTTTTCACCAGAAAATTCTTTCAATTAACGAGGTTACTAGAGCATATATTACCATCGATGTTTCGTATCTGTACGATTAATCTAAATAACAATAACAATCAGGATTATATCTGTCAATTTGTATTTGAATAATAATAATAATAACGACAACAACTAAATTACACCGATTAATTTGTACTTGAATCAAACTGCAATGCACCTTACTTTTTTTATCTCGTGACAGGTATACTTATCGAATACACTCTTAAAAAGATGAGGTGAGATTTTTCAAACGTGCGCGTTTGAATCAAAGATTGTGCATGGCATAAAGTACAAATACGTTTGTAAATACGTCTGGCACTTGAAGAAATTTTATTTCTCGTGTTTTCATTCAGTCAATGCAATTTTGCTTTGTCCCATGTATAAATATCTTTGAATTTAGTATCTAAATTATTATCTCAAATATATAATATTAAATATATTTTCTTAATATATAAATTATCTTCAATATATTATCTTTAAAATTTAGTATAAGCAATCAATAATTCAACTGTAAAATACACACTTACAGAAACTCTTTTACAAGCGTACACTCAACTTTCCAACGAGCACGCGTACTGCGCAAAATAATTGAAAAGAAATATTTCGAAAATTAGCGAGACGCCAACTGTCACGATTATATTAACGAAAGAAATCGGTAGAAATCTAAATCTGACGTTTGAAACTGAATCTGACTCCGACACTGGAATCGAAAATCGGATCACGCTTGACGATTTGTTTCGTATTTTTCTGTTCGCAGTGCCGCCGGCCAAGCCGATAATCTACGACGCGAAGCGACGAGACATGAGCAAACTCCTCGAGGCCTACCCGGAAGGAGCTGACCTGTTCCTCGTCTGCGAGGTTCACGGAGGTAAGCGCGAGATTAACGACCGAACAACGACGTCTTCGCGATACTATCCTCCTTGCCGGCGAAACGTCGCCTCCTCCCCCGTCCAACCCTCTCTGTTTGCACACCTTGCCATCTGTTTTCGCGAGAAAATAATCTGTCGCGATGTTCCGCCACCCTCCTGTAGATTAATTGGCCGGAACCTTCGCCGCCTCGTTTCTAATACCGGGAATAATGGATCGCTGCCAGGAATTGCTTCCGGCCGATTAGAGCGATGAATTATTATAAGTGGGTGCGCGCATCGTTTATAAAAAGCTGGCGGACAGTAACCGAAGCATCCGTCATACTCGATCAAACAGCCCCGGCGAAGGCGATGAAACTGCGATGGCGCTTCCGCCTGCAAGTAACTCGGTTTTCTCGGGGAAATTTAATGGAGAAACCAAGTCCCCCTACCGACGTTTCAGCCAACTGTTCGCCTTGGACCCTTCTCCACGGTTTATTCCCTGGGAATAAAAGAATATCGAAGGGAATAAGAGACGACAGCGAGATGTCAAGCGGAGTATGTCGCGGCGCGTGTATGTGTGTAGGCCGCGTTAGCGAGTAGCGATGGGATCGAGTTCGATACGAGTGTGCACTTGCGAAACTAAATCAGACCCAGAGTTTGGAAAGGATCGCTTTACACGAAGATAACATGTGTGTGTGTGTGTGTATGTGTATGTGTTGTAAAGTACTCTGTACTTTGACGTTTCGAACGAATCGAACAGTTTCGTCCATATGTCTTTCAGTTTTAGTAGTTCTAAATGTTGTCACGTTGCAGCACTCATATTTCGAGGGAATATTATCAGACGCCTTGTGTATTTAACGATAGGATCAAGTTTAATGTGTACTCGCGAAATCATTGAATCTAACAAAATCTCACTTCACAGAATTCAATTGTTACTCGTTAAAGATGATGTTCGATACTTGTTTCGATTCCTGGTACGTCATGTGACACCATTCTGGTGGAGAAAGACAAAAGAAACAGTCGTGTTGATAATAATTATAATACTGTGCTATCAGTATGTTGTAGTCTGTGTTAATTTAATAATTTCTTATCCCTCGTTTACAATCAGTATAATTTTCCTTCGTGTAAATTAGATTTGAATACGTTTCAGCCTTGATTTTATTCATTAATATCTAACAGTAACAATTTATTTAACACTTCTGACGCATAAAATCACTTGTATACTTCAAACATAATTTTTAATTTAATATCTATTCCATTTTTTGATTTTATTTATTCAATATCTACAATATACTGTACATTAATTCAATAATTCCAAACGTATGAAATCTACTGTATAATTAAAGCATGAATTTTCATTGAATCAGTTTTTTGCCGCAAAAGAACAGGACTTTTTTTGTTATGAAAGAATTATGTAGCTGCCAAAAAAATGGCAAAAAGTGATGGTTCAAAATAATCAGTACTTTATTGAATCAAGCTGTTTAATGTATAAAAAATTATTATTTATAGAAAATTTATTATATATTACATTTATAAATATAATTAATATCAAATATTATATTTATATTATATTAATTATAATTAATATTAAATACTATATTTATATAAATATAACATTTATAATATATATTTATAAATTTATTATACATTATATATATATAAATATAATTAATGTTAAATGTTATATTGATATTATATTAATTATAATACTATATAATTCTATATAATACTATCTAATACTATTATAATACTATATTTATATAAATATATACTATAAGTATATAGTATTATATATATATACCATAAGTATATATTAGTAATACTTATAGTATATATATTATATACTATAAGTATTAATACTTATATTCTATAAGTATTACTAGTAATACTATACTATATACTATATACTAATAATACTAATATAATACTATATAATACTATTATAATACTATATTTATATAAATATACTATATTATAATATTATATAATACTATTATAATACTATATACTATATAATACTATATTTATACAAATATAACATTTATAACATATATTTATAATAAATTTATTATATATTATATTTATAAATATAATTAACGTTAAACGTTATATTTATGTCATATCAATTATAATTGATATTAAATATTATATTTACAAATACAATATTTATTATATGTAAAAGAAATTTATTTTTAAATTGTTATTTAATATATATTGAAAAAAGTTTCGCGTCATTTACTTAGAAGAAACCCCGCACTGGCTCGCTGGCGGATCGAAGAGTTATATTTGATAGTCGGTTGATCCCATCGCTAGGAGGAACGCCGCTGTGATATCCACTCGAGGAGGACGTCGCCGCGTCTACGCCGAAGGAAGTAGGGAATTTCCACGCATAAGCGATCGCGCGTAAAGCGCGGCGAAAGAGGCGACAAACACGCAAACCGTCTTTCGAATCCCGCGTGCCGGACGAAAAATCTCGGTCTCCTCGAACCGCGAGTATTCACTGGCGCGAGGCCAATTCCATTTACAGCCGGCGTTCGCTTATTCGAAGAAAATACGACGCGAAATAGAGGAAGAGATCGAAGAGAAGGTAGAAGAAGAAGAGGCACGAGGAAAGAAGAACGAAAGGGGTAAGGAGGAAGTGGACTGAAGAGGAGCCGTGATAGGTGTCGCGTTGCGCGATCAAATTCTTTGGATCGACGCCAGTTTTAATCTTCGACGGTGCCGCTCTCGCGGTCTTGGCCGCGAGTTGGTCTCGAGCTTGCGTGGAATTAATCCTTTCCTACGTCGAATCGCGAAGTGGCAATCGTCGACGAAAAAGAAATCCATCTGCGTTGAGTGACTTGCCCAGTCAGTCAACGCTTCAAAGTTTGGAGCCTCGTGGCTGTGAAAATTGGTATTCACGCTATTACTGTAAATAAACTATTTCATACATCCAGCAATGTTTGACAATTATAGATTTTATTCATATTGTTGCACTATTAGAAACTTGATTGAATTTTGTGACCAGGATCAATTCTTTCATTGATACTCGCTGTTATCACTCGGTGGGTCAACATTCGTCAACAAAAAAAAAAAAAAACCACCTCAGAATATATTAAATTATAGATAGCAAGAATATTTTGAACTTGCGGAACATCATGACGATTGATAGTAAAAGGAATGTATTGGGTTGTGCATGACAAATTCGTTTGCGAAAAATTTAGTGTTACATTTTCAAGAATATTAAAAGTATGTTCTTTGTGTCATTTGTAGGAGATCACTTTCTATCAGTCTTTATATCATAGTGGAGAATATACATGATCTATCCATGCTAAATAGAGAAACACGTAGAGTAAATAAATGTTGCCTATGATAATATAATATATGTATAATATATTATAGTATAATATATATATAATATATAATATATTATCGTAATATATATATTATATTTGTTACTATAATATATATAATATATTATTATAATATTTGTTACTTACTATAATATATATATAATATATTATCATTATATATATAAAATATTTGTTACTTGATGACAAAAGTGAAAATTTAAAGCATAACATGAAACAAAAAATATAATTGACAATAGAACATCACAGAAAACATTGAACTTACGATTGTTAAAACACAAGAAAGATTAGATTTACTGTGCCAACACTAACAATAGAGTATTAGTCATTTCAATGCAGGGAAAATATTTTTTACGAGTAATTATATATAATTCGAAAAACATGGAGATTCACAAACTACACATACACACAATTTTTTGAAAAAAGAAACGAAAATTATTTCATTCCATTACCAACCAAATAATAATCAACCAAATGATACACGTTAATATCATCGTCGAGACACGAACGAATCTAATACTAATTATAGAGATTGTAGAAAAGAAAAAGACCATTCTCTCCTTTCTCGAGAAATCTATGGGCTTCATGCTATCGCTATGAAGAAAGCAAGTGTTAATTTTTCCTACAATACAACGTTTGTTTATTGAAATTCGCCAGATAGGTCACCCAATCCTCATCGAGACCAGCCCCGTTTCGAAATTAGTCGCAGTTCGAGAGCCATCGATCGTTCCCGAAATCAACGAAATGGCGAAAGTTCAAAGTACCATCGAGCGGTACGCGTTGCGCAGAAAAACGCATTTTTGTACATTATTTGACGGAGGTAAGTTGCCGAGTGGCTCGCTGCCGGTATTGTTCGCCGAACGAGAACTCGAACATAATTAACCGATCGCGTTATCAACTGGCAAAACGTTCAACGTTTCGTTTCATTTCATACGACTGACCCGTTCATTGATTTGAAAATTGATAACGAAACTGGCTCCGCCGGATATCTCTTTTTCTTTTTCTGTTCGACGAGTAATTTCTTTCGCTCTCTCTCTCTCTCTCTCTCTCTCTCGTTCACCGTGTTCCTTCCAGGAGGATTACGCGACTTACAGCTCGGAGGCAGTCGGAGCTGTCGTCCACTCTGCAGTTCTTCGGACCAGCGATTTGTCACTCGACGAAGAAAACGAATTTCCAACTTGCTGCTGGAGTTTTCCCTCCCCTCCCGTGAACGTGTACAGGTAAATCGTGACTTTCGAACGAGGAAACGCTCGTATTGTCGGACTGAAACTCTATGGCGTCCGAACGAGATTGGAGTGAACCAACTGAGAACTGTCAAATACCGGTCTGCGCGACTTACGGCGAAATTTATATTTACCATCCTCCCGAATCACGGTATTTCACTGTAACGTTCCGACGCTCCGCGACCCCGATGATTGGAAATTGCCGATTCCGTGGAGGCCGCGCGAAACGAGATATAACCGAATACTACGAATTTGCGACGAGTAATAATCTACGTCAGAGCGTTCACAGAAGATGCTCGTTAATTGTTCGTCGCAATTAGGGTACATATTCTTGGTCTAGAAATCCTAATAACGGCCTAATTGTACGACGTTTCAACGTATCGTGCACTTGCGAACGAAAGTAACGCGATTTTCCAAGATGTTACAGGGGAACAGACGTATCCACCT